ACGCTGGCTTTTCAGTTATAGCTTCAATAGGCTGAGCTGGCAGCCTGTCAGCAGGCTTATGTCACCTAATGACTGTGTCAGTTCCCTCTTTGCCTGGCTTCCTGTTAGTAAATATCCTCAGGATGCTCTTGGAACCCAGAAGGTGTAGGTGGCCTGGCAAGGGAGCCAGAATGAAAAGGGGAAAAAGAAATGGGGAGAGAAGCAGAGAAGACCCACCCCTCCTTGCCAAAAAAAAAAAAAAAATGTATACCAGGAAAAAAATTCTTCTAAACAGAGGGAGAGTAACTTGCTGTGAGGTGTCTTCCTACAGAACAGTTTTTGCTCCAGTAAGTTTGTTTCAAAAATTTTTTTTGACCTGGTCTGATCCCCTTTATCTCCATTCCCCCACCCACCATGCCCTTCCTTCCTGTTTGGCGCTTTTAAAATGGTATTACTTCTCTTCCACAATAGTGACCTGCTGGGAGTAATAGCAGAGACATTTCCTGGCCTGTGGCTCTAGTTGTCTTTTTAATAACGACCCCCCCACCTCCTTGCCCTGTGCTGCTCTTCATAAACATTTTCCTGAGGCTGGGGCAGAGCTTCAGGTGAGCCCCCTGCGTCCTGCTAAGGCTAGTTGTGTTGCGGCTTGCTTTTCCCCTTTGCCTGTCGGCTACAGCACCCAGATTTCTGCACCCTGACCTCCCTTCTGCACAGTGCATTGCGGCTTGAGTGTGGATGGTAGAAACTCCGAGCTTTGGCTCTTATATTTGAGGGAAATAAAGTCTGCGAGCGACCCCCAGGGGAGCTGCCCAGGGAATGTCAGCCCTTCCAGCTCTGTGGAATTGGGTTAAAGGTTTCAAGCAGTGCTGGGGGCGTGTGCCCGTCCAGCTTTGCCCGAGGCCACACAGTGTCATCCTCTGAGGCCTAGGTAGCCCCATGGTCCTCTCCAAGCACTCTCTCTTTAAGTTAGTTCATTCTTTGTACATCACTTTCTATAAAAACATGGATTCATAATCTTGAAATTTAGTCTCAAATTTTCCCACCAAAACACTGCTACTTTGAGTGAATGTGTGTCGCAGAGTTAACAGCCTAAGGTAGCAATTTCTCCCTTCGTTCAGCCCGCACTTCTGCCCTTCCAAACTTTAATTAACTAGCTCATTCATTCATCTTTGTGTTTGTTCATTTAGTAAGTATTTGTTGAGCGCTCCACAGCCCAGTGCCACTGAGATAGGGCGGGGACATGGGACAAGCATCATGATTAAGTTTTCCTGCCTCTGATGAAAAATGCTGAGATATAAATAGTATAGTAAGAACAGGAGGGTGTCCACCTTAAGGCTATGATTCCATTTCAAAACCCAGGGAGTTAGGCTGTCAGATTCCTAACATGCTTTATGGTAATAAGCCAACAACTGGCCCTCTTAAGGCAGGACAAGCAGTGGTGTGTCCTAGGTGGTGTGTCCCCACTGCTTGAGGGTAGCCACTGCTTGAGGGAAGAACAGGATCAATAAACTTCTTGTATTAAGTTTATCTTACGGACCATTTAGAGGACTGACTATGGATAATGACAGACATCATGAGACCACATGTCAAACCTACACCCCCGAGCCCTTTGCCCCATTCTTGAAATCCTTAAAAGATATATATCCTAAGCTTTAAGTGTGCCTCCTTTGAGGTTGCCCACACTCCCTTTTCTTCCAGTGTGTAGTTTGCCTTAAATAAAGTCTTCTTGCTGCTCAACTTATTGCATCTCGTCTCTGAGCTCTTCCAAGCCTGTTGGGAGGTTAATAAGAAACCCCTTTTCCCAGTAGTAAGCGTCTTTGTTACTCTGCTGTTTCATTCAATTTTCTAGACTTAAGCACAAGTCTTCACTCTCTCTGTCCCACTTTAGACAAGTAGGGAGGGGCTACTAAGATCTCTGATTTGGGCCTGCAAGTTCCCATCGCCTGGGTGACCCGGACAGGACGGCAGCTGTAGGAACCCGTGCGTCAGTAGACTGCCTGAAAATCTCTCTCTCTGTCTCTCTTTTTTTTTTACCTTTGGGAAGTTCTCAAAACTTAATCTCACTCCATCCCGTGCTCTGCAGTCCCCCAGATCATACAGTGGTAGGGGCTTAGTTCCCACACAGTGCAGGTTCCAGCAGGCCCTGGATGCCGGGTGACCCTGGCTTTAGGGGTTGGCAAGGGATCTGCCCTGTGCGGAGCAGGAGTTCAGTGAACTCTCCTTTTCTACCTCTTACTCTCTGCTGCCTGCACGGCTGCTGCCATTCACTTCCACTCTCACTGTAATGGATTCCTGCCTTACCTACACTCGTCCGACCTGTTCCAGAGTTCTTTCTCCGCCAGAGAGAAGAGCCCTCCCCTGTCTGGGTTGAAGTCTCATCTATTGCAGTGGGAAAGACCTCCCCAGATGCAGCTGCCTGACAGCACTAGGTGAACGAAAGAGAAAGGCCCCTGTCCTCATGACGTTTTCCTGGAGTGGGGAGACAGTCAGTCAGGATGTAGGAAGCCACCACAGGCCCACCCACCAAGCACCCTGCAGAGGAGGGCATGGCCGGGTGCTTTGCTGAACATCGGAGAAGTGAAGGGAGACCTGGCCAGGCCCGCCGGAGACGGGAGCACCGAGCGCTGACGTGGAGGATAAGGAACAGCTGGATGGAGAGCTGGCAGGGTCTGCAGAGCATTTCCAGCAGAGGGTCAGCATATGTGGAGATTCCTTGGCAGAAATGAACTCGGCACCTTCCAGAAACTGAGAAGAGGCCCGAGGGATTGAAGTGGCGAGAGGGAGGTGGAGAAACAAATTGGGAGGGGTAAGCAAGGCCTGAGTGTTGAAGTCTTGTATTTTATTTAAAAAAATTAAGCATACAGAATGTACAGCTAACTCCGTAACATAGCTCTCTTTTTCTATGGAGTGGTTTTAAGAAAGGCAACATATGTAATGGTTAACCGCAGACTGGAGCTAGATGCCTGAGTCTGAATTCACTGCTACCACTCGCTGCTTGCATAACCGTAGGCAACTTATTTGACCTTTCTGGGCTTGATTTCTACATCTGAAGAAGGGGGAACAACTAGTACCCATTTCATGGGGCCATTCTAAAGATTAATGGAGATGACACACATGCCTGGGCCATAGTATGTACTCAATAAACATTGGCTATTTAAAAAGAGGTTTTAAAGAAAGTATTAGATTGATTCCCCAGGAGAATGTCTCTTTTTATTCTGTGGCTTTGTGCCTGCCTTAGCACAAAGAGATGAACAAATTCCACTCTGAGATGGCCAGTACTGAGACTGGCTTGGCTGGGACAGCTGATCAGGCCTAAGTCAGCTTCAGGAGTAACACAGTTCTCTCCTTAGGTGATGGTTGGGTATCTTCTTGTTGCTCAAGCATCTAGGTCCAGGGGCTGCCATGGCTCCGTCAGTCTAGAAGCCTGTTTCTACACACCAGCTGTAGGGGGCTCTCAGGTGAGCTGCCCATGTGATTCTCTTTGGATGTTTCAAATTTACTTCAATTCAGCAAGCACTGACTGGTCATCTTCAATGTTCAGGCTCTGTGCTCAGGGCTGGGGTACAATGCAGGATGAGGCCTGCTTGTTACCCAGTGGAAGGTACCGTCTAATGGGGGGGTCAGGCTCATAATTAACAGCTTAAGCCAGTTAAAGTGGAGATTGTGGGACCAGGGGAAGGGTCCTTGGCCTAACCTGGGGCTTCAGAGAGAACATCCCAGGGGAAGGGATGCCTAAGTGAGTCGTGAAGAATAGGAAGGGATAGCCAAAGATAGGAGGGGCTTGGGAGAAGTAGGAAGTGTTAGCAGAGGCGTGGGAGTCGGGGTGAACAGTGCGGCGTGTGACAAGGACCTGCCAGCAGTTTAATACAAGGAGGGGAGGACAATGTGGAGGCCTAAGCTGCAGAGTGAAACAGCCCGTGTGCTCTCCCTCCTGGGAGTGGGGGATGGAGCCCTAGGCCTTAGGGCTTCTGCAGGATCCTAGGAAGGAGGTTCTGTAGTCTGATCAGCATTTCTGAGGGACCTTCCTGGCTGCAGGGTGGAGGACAGATTTGGGAGTGGGGTGGGGCAGTAGCGCCACTGCCAGGGAGACTGCTGGGCCGCTGCTTCTCTATGCCAGGCGAGAGAGAATGAGACGAGGAGGTTGTGCTGGTTGGTGTGGGAAGAGTGGATGGGTTAGAGAAGAATGAGGGGATGCAGGCCTGCCTTGGTAGAGAAAGGCTCCGTGGGGGACAGATCCCAGGGGTGATGGGCTTTCAGGGGTGTTGGGACACTGCGGACAAAGGTGTTGTTCAGGGACCTGGGCAGTGACTCTGCTTCCTGCCCTCCCAGAAGGGGGTGTATCCTGAGTGCTGGATTTGGTTCAAGGACGAGGAGATCCCCATGTGGGCAAACATTTCCTTGAGCAGAAACATATGGAATTTTGGGCTAAATTCTTCTGGGTAGCTGTGTGTGTGTGTGTATGTGTAATATACAAGACACTGATATACAGAAATTCAGTCTTTTCAATTCTGACGGGACCCTTGGGGGAAGAGTGACACCATGTCAACTGCTTGGTTTGTGAAAACCTGGGTCCCAGGAATGAGTGGGAGTAGGATGAGAAAAAGGTGTGCAGCCTCTGCCCTACTGTGTGTGCCCACTTGGCGCCCAGGAAGTTTCATGTCCTCGACTGACTCGAAGCAGGTACCTGTGCGCTGTCCTTCGCAGCCGGGCCCTAACCCCCCGCAAGCCTGCCCTGTCACCCTCCCGCGGCTCCTGCTGCTGATGCGTTCAGGGGAGTGGTTTTCCTGAATGCTGTCATGGTTGTATGTACACCAGGCCATTTACAACAGCTTGGTCACCTAGATCATCTTCGCTTCTGCTCACAGACCCATGAGGAAGGTGCCCATCACCCTTCACAGAGAAGGGAACCTAGGGCTCTGCAAGGTCCTGCACCCTGCCCGGCTCACAGACTAGGGAAAGGGAGCAGCTGGCAATCAACCTGACTGTTACACTGATGTTTTTTCCTCCCCATTGCATTGCAGTTACTGTCATGGGTACCAGTCGGGTCCAGTTTCTGTTTGGAGCCTTCTTGTGAAGGGATAGAACCCGTCAAAAACTGCTCTGCTGTCAAATCCACAGAATCCAAAGAATTTGCATCCTGCAAATCTCCTGCCACCCATGAAGCCCATTCTGTTTGTCCCAAGCTGGCGACACTTTAAAGCTGATCCCTGAGCTGACATGACCGGATGGAGTGAGCAGTATGTATTATGTTGTTATTATTTAATAAAGCGTGTGTTGTTCCCTGCTTGGCGATGTGGCCAAGTTGGTTTTCTAGCAGGTGGTGGGTAACTGGACCCAAGCCTCCTGATCTTTGCTCAGGAACTCCCTGGTCCAGCCTTTGATATCAGAACAAGAGGAGAAAACAGTGACACAGGACACTTCCTGTCCCAAAGGGGATGTGATACAGGACACCTGAAACAACAGGCAGAGGAGAAGCTTCGCGAGGGCTGCTTCGGGAGAGCTGGCCTCAGCCTGCCCTCCACCAGTCATCTAAGATCTGGTGAGGAGGGGGCTGGGCCAGCTGCTCCGGGAATTCTGCGGAGGGGTTGCCATGTGTTCTCTATGGGCTGGGCACAGGCTGGGCACTGATGTCCCAGCGCCTGGCTTTGTGAAGGGTACGATCCAGTGATGGAGACTGATGAGAAGGCAAGAAAATTTAGTGTCATGAAGTTTAATTCTTTATAGATAAAGGAGAGGGGTTCTGGGAGCCCAGATGGAGGGTTCCTGAACGGTCCTGGATAAGTCAGAGAAGGCTTCCCGGAGGAAGAGTCTAGGCTGGGATTTGAAGGATGAACAGGAGTTTGACCAGGCACAGTTGCACAGGCTTCAAAGGTCTAGGGTGAGAAGAAAAAGGAAAGCTTAAAAGTGTTAATGAAAGTAAAAAATTAAAACTTCAGTGCTAGGCCTGCCCACCCTTCCCCTCCATTCTCTAGTGTCCTATTATTAGAGGTATAATTCGCAAAGCATGGGGGCAGGGGAAAAGGCCTGATATTTGATTGTTTCAGAGCTAGATGTATGCAAATGAGAAGGCTTTTATCTTACAAGGTAAAATGCCTGAAAGCAAAAATCCCAGATTAAAATTACTCAACTTTTTTTTTTTTTAACTGATGCATATCCAACCAGTAATTGAGTTCAGGGCCCTCAGAATGACCTGTGTGAGACTTTCAGAGTCTGAGTGAGTTGTTTCATGCAGTAGAAATTCAAAAAATCTGACTTTGGATATTTTGGTCATTTTTTCCACCCTGCCAGAGGCTAGCCATACCATCTTGGAAAAATAACATCACTTCAACCAACACGAGGCGTAGAACTCTAACTGCTTACTTAATTCTTCATCTATTAGCTTATCACTGCCTCCCCACCCCCCAAATTTTTACTTTGAAAAACCTAAAACCTACAGAAAAATTGTAAGACTAGACTAGAACAATGCTCTGCGCGGGTATGTGCAGCCATATACATACCTATTTTGGCTGATGGATTTGAAAGTAAGTTGCAGCCACCACGACATTTCCCTCCCAAGGGTTTGCTGCACGTGCGTTTGTATTCTCCTACCTAACAATGGGGGAATTATCAAACAGGAAAACTAACATTGATACAATACCCTTCTTGAATATATAGTTCATATTAAAATTTCCCTTATTGACTCCATCATGTCCATCATTTTTATTTTTATTTCTGATCAAGTCCAAGGACACATATTGCATGGAATTGTCAGGTCTCTTGGTCATCTTTAATTAAGAGTCGTTCTCAGTCGTTCATCCTCTGTCATTAACCAACATTTTGGAGAAGCCCAGAACGGTCATTTTGCAGATTATGCAGCTTATTCGTTCAACAGTTAGCAGTAGTTGAGCACCTCCTGCGTGCTTGCCGCTACGCCGGTGATAGAAAACATCACAGTCAAGGCAAGTGTGGTGTTCCTCCATTTGGAGCTTGGAGTCTAGGGGGAGAACCTGATGATAAATAAGTAAGTTACAGAAAAGTGAAAAGTACCATGTGGGACTATGGAGAGCTCCTGGTTGGACATGTATCTGCTCTAAAAAAGAAAGAAAAGAGGCTTGAGATGAGAGCAAGTGGGGAGAGCGTTCCTTTTGGCGGGGGCGCCGGGGAGGGCCTCTCTGTGAGGTGGTGAGACTTGAGTTGTGAGCCACAGGGTGGGAAAGTGCCGAAGAGAAGGCAGATGCGGGGAGATGGTGGTCGCCTTCCCCGCAGAGCAAACAGCCTGGGGAAGGGCCTGGCGGCTGGGAGGTGTTTGGCCCAGCTGGGAAGCTCAGAGATGGGCATTTTGTCTTCAGAATGGTAAGCAGGGGCCAGGAGGTGAGGGATGAGGTGTTTGCTGTGGGTGGGGGCCAGATCATAACAGGGCTGATTTCAGATGCAATGGGAAGTCCCTGAAGAGTTGATAACGGGGGTGGCATGAACTGAGGGGTACTTTAAAGAGGTCACCTTCAAGCACTTCTGAGGGTAGCTGCCAGGTGGGAATGAAATCTTGTCCACACAGCAAAGAAGGTATTAGACATTCATGGTATTGTTTGCAAGAACTCAGAAGTATCACAAAAGGTGATTTAAAATGTTTGATTTATTTTTGAGTTTGAAGTGATGCTAGAGTAATTTCTGGGTGTGAATTTGGCCCTCCAGGGGAGGCTGGTGCAGCCGTGGCTGGTTTGCTCGTCTTGTGTCTGGTTTGTCAGTGCTCAGACCTGACACGGCTCTACTCTAGAAGCAACCCGGTGCTCCCCCTGCCTCTCAGGCAGCTGGTTGTTTGGTTGTGGGCTAGTGTGGTCATGGGGAGTCCTGCCACTCCTGGCTGCGAGCTGCTGCCCCCCACCTGCTCTCTCCAGCACCTCTTCCTGGAGCCCACCTACCTTGGCTTCGGGTCCTTTAAGTCAACCACCCTGGAACCAAAGCAGAGCTGAAGAGGAAACAGGACAGCAGGCGCCGGGAGGCGCTGCCTGTTCCTGGGCAGGCCCTGCGCACGAGGGGGCACTGTGGGTGGCGCTGGACGCTGGGGAGCACGTCCTTCAGGTGCCAGAGAGCCGCAGGGACCTGACAACCAGCTCGAAGCTCCAGAACCAGAGATGGGAAGGGAAGAACCTCTCTTTGCAGAAGATGGCCTCTGGGGTTTAGCAGCCCTGAAGTTAGTGACCTCTGCTGTGGGCTCCAGCTTTATGCTGGTTGCTATTTAATTCACAGACTTGGATTAATTCCTCTTCTTGCATGCCCTCCCCGAGGTCTGTCGCCATTGTTCTCCTGCCTGTCTTTACTGAGTGCTGAGAACTGTGGGAATAGCTCGACCCACCAAAGGCTAAGGCTGGTTAGACCAGCCATGAGAGCACAGCCCACGGCAGGGGGAGTGGCAGGGGGCTGGCACATGCAGGGCCCAGTCCCCACGCTCCTGCGGGCAGCAGGTCTCAGGTCCTGGAACACGCTAGCTCCCGACTTCTTGCAGGTCTCCGAACTTGCTGTTCCCTCTTCTAGAGTTCTTTTCCTGTCTCAACCAGCCAACTGGTACGCTGGAAAGCCTTCCGTTCCCAGCTACCCTGGCAATGCCTGGTAGACTTCTTACCTGCACATCCAAGACTGTCTCTTTCCTTCAGAGCACATAGTTCTGGTTTGAATAATGCGTGCATGTATGTGTGTGATTATTTGATTTCTGTTTGTCTCCCCTACTTGGCCATAAACTCTGCCAGGGGCGGAACACATTCTGTTGTTCTGTGGTTGCTCAGCACTCATGTAACCCCAGGGTAACCCAGGCTTAACCCTTTAGTGCCAGGGTTTTCCAGAGAACTGCTAGTTAGAGATGGACGCTTTTAGAAGCATCTGCACGGAGGGCAGCCCCCGAAGGCTGGAGGGCACAGTTCTTTCTCCTGTGGTCATGAGCTGGTTTGTTGTTGACACATCCTCTTCAGACTTCGGAGAGTCCAGTAAGATGGAAATGAGAGCTGGAGAGAGACAGACAGACAGAGAGAGAGGGCACGCTGGAATGCTGGGCTTTATAGCGTTTGGAGATATTGGGCATTTCCTGCGCTGCTAAACAGCAAGAACCCAGGACACCTGCTTACCTTCAGAGCAAGGTGCTTTATTTCACTAAACTCTCTCCTCCATCTCACCTTCTGCATCTTAGTCCCACTCCCCTTATTGGGATTTTCTAGAGAGGAGCAAGAGGTGTGTTTAATTTTCCTATTTTATGCCCAGTCTCAGCTAGGGAGAGGAGGAGGTGTAATCAGACGTGTTTTCTCTCCCTTGCTCCTTTGCAAGGACATTGCTCCGAAAGAATGTCCCATTTCATTGAAGACTTGAGCCAGCCTCAGCATGAACCCGTATTTCACTTGGATTGTGTTTATTCCCAAACAGTGCTGGGCAAGTACACTTCTGTGTCCCCACTTCCCTGGGATATCCTGCTGAACAGTCTTTTGAACTAAACCTAGAATCTGTGTGACAGTGGGTGAATAACTCAGGAGCTGGGTGGGGATGTGATGGGTGCACCACAGAGGAAGGGACTATTCTTGGGTGGTCCCAACCAGGATCCAAGCGTGAGGACCCAGCTAGCCCATCTCCTTTACTTTCCAATAAGAATAAAACAGCAGCGTGCAGAGGTCAGAGACTCCAGTGTCTGCAAAGACTACAAGAAGGTGGAGCTCTCCTGAAATTGAAGACTATACTGTCTAATTAGCCCCAGTCTCCACCATTCCTTTTTGTCTTCCTGATATGAATACTTGTTCCAAAGGAACAGATTTCTTCGGTGGTCCAATATCTTAGTTTCTATTTTGGTTGTTAGAAGTCTGGGGTGGAGACTCTAGTGAACTAGAAAACTTGTGACTACTCAAGAGGGTAGCTGCTTCTCAAGACAGTTACTACCACGGGACAACGTGGACCCAGTGTCCCCAGATAATCTGGGTTTTCAAGAGATGCTAGATATTTGGGTAAATATGTAAAATTTTCTAATTTTTAAATATTGATGACAAACCCTTGTTTTGAAAAATTCTGGGTGGGTCCAACAAAACTTATTTGTGAGTTCCATTTTGTCCATGAGTTAGGAGTCCCTGGGCTGTGCATCTGAAAGGCTCCATCGTTCAGAAGGCAGAGCACAAGCAAATAGGTGTAAACGAGGGAAGGACTTGAGCCCAGAGAAGAGCTGCAGGGAAGCTGCAGGGGTGGTGGAGGGAGAAGGGCCTTCGCCCAGACAGGCCCCGGGCGGGAGTGT